TTGTATTTTTTACTGAGTGAATTTCCTCCCGTATTAACGTCAGAAAAGTATTTAAAATGCGGGAGTACTGGACAGAAGGTTTTCTCTAGGCTAAGACTGTCCACCAAGAATATTACTCAGAGAATATAGTTCCATGAATTCTGGATTTTATTAATTGCAGTTTACGGCCACTGATAAACCACATCATAGGTGAATATCTGTCTTCATACCCTTATTCGTGAATCCCACTGGTCAAAACTTCTTATTAGATCTCCCGTATTCAGTCAATAATGAGCAGAAGGTTAAGTTCTAAATATCGAGTTTAAGAAAGTCTGATCAGTCCCAAAGTAGATCTCTTTAGGAGCTTATTTTCACTGGTTCTTCAACTGACGTCGGTTTTTAACAAAATCTGCCTTTCAGTCACTCCAATTTGCACAAACACAAAATCTTAAAATTCCATTTTTATGTGACACGACTCTAATAGATACTTATTCATTTCGCTCTTATTTTGATACGTTGGTGGGATATATTCTATTGTTCAAAGTTTTACATTAGGTAACAGATTACTGTAATATATTGAAGATATTTTAAGTGAAAATAAATCAGTATTTGGTGCCTTAGAGTTCTCTTCATGATAGTCATATTTGTCCTTAGTTTATAAACCTGCAATCGGTGCATAAACTACGTTTTGTTTTACTAATTATGTTGTGGGTGGATTAACACATACAATTCGAGAGAAAATAAAATCGGCCGTTAGACTATTCTACTGTCCACCTACTGATAATTCACTTGTGGTTTTATCCTTGAAACTGTTTATGCATCCACAGTAATCATCCAAGATATGTATAGAAATGGTTTTTTTCTGAATCGATTTCCAACCACTGGATGATATAATGAGTGATAAGACCATTATGCTGTTTTCGTGATAAATAAATATATAGTTACGGTAAATTCAAGGATACTTATCAAAAAGATTTCCAACCGCAGCTGTGCCAGAAGGTTTTCCGTTACAAATGTCACTTATTGTAGATTATTCAATTATTGATTTGTAGGGATTTGATTTGATTGGTCACAGAATATCATCATGAACTGATATTAGTTAGAAGACCATTGGAAAACCTGCAGGGAGTACTAGACAGCTGTTTCGTCCTTGTTTGAGACTCTTCATCAATAAGCTCCCACCCCAGGGTTCGAACCCAGGACCTTCTGGTTACAAGGCGAGCTAGCTCGTAGACCATTAAGCCACTGGGACCCAATCCCATGGCCCGTGAATTCTCACTTCCGTTAATTTACGACATAAAGCAACCACTGGCCGATGTAATCGCTGGCGAGCACTTGTTCTCACACCCGACCTGTTGTACCCTACTGGCTACGAATTCCCACTAGAACCCCAGGTGGAAAACTTTCAATGTAATCAAAACCATTGGTATAGTATTGACGTTTCTCACATGACTCAGGGTAGAAAGCTATAAGGTGAATAACATAATGCACCATGGCTTTTCCAGTTACTATCCACCCGTAATGAAAAACGCTATAAGACTAAATTTTACTTTGAAAGCTGAATTCACCTGAAAGGTGAAAGGGTGTTTGTTTTTTACCACAACTGACCTGTGAAGGCTATGATAAGGCTACTAAGATGCTAAAAGTTAGTAAATTAATTATCTAGTGTTTCAAATTTCCCTTCGTAATTTTGCAAATATTGACTGATGAATTTCTAATCTGCTAAAAGAATAAGTTGTTCAGTCTTTTTCAAGACATTCAGGCTATCTTCAGCGATTATAGATAAATTTAAAAAAGACTAATTTCTGAATAAATAAAAGTATTAATTTCAATAAATCTTCTCCGCAGGTTATGCAGTTCTTCATTCCAAAAAATAAATGTTATTAACAACCTTTGTGTTGCCATATAGTCCAGGGACTTGACGTGTGAACAGAAGTATTTCCAGCAGTCTGTAGATTTCTATCAACAGCCGTCTTCACTCTTCATTGAAAATCAGATTAAAGGAATAAACAAACAAGTAACGATGAACTCCTGCAACACATCGACCAAGAACCTATTCCCCCAAAAATATGCCGAAGAAAATGAAGATGGATAGGAAATTTTCTGAAGAGACCGTTGAATGACTTCATACACAAAGCAGGCCCTTAAGTGAAAGTCAGGTAGGAAGCTATGCATTAGGCATGTGACCCTAGGTAACATGGAGGATATTACGTGAAAAGAAAATGATAGCTCTTATGCTGTCATGCAGCCAGGTTTCAAAGATAGAAAGGGACAGATTACATTGAAGATGTGTGGGTGAAGCCCTAAGTTCCACTTAGAAATCAAGAAATAAAGAATATAGTATTAGTCAGCCGAAAACGTAAGAAATTTGGTCATGAGGACAGTGACCTCACCTGGTGAAAACTACAACACCGCAACCGAAACTTCAAAACTTGAAGATTATGTGTAACTCTTAACACAAAGAAAAAAATCAATCAAGTAGGTGTAGTTGTATCACACATTTCTCTGCAAAATATCGTTGCATTATTATCAGTCAGTCTGTTTAAGATCGAATGATTAGGATTGCTTATTTGACAGGAAGTGGAGTTCACAGTGTTGTGATTTAATTTAGGAGCAGAAATATAAATGTGATACAAGACATAGATGTGTTTCTATACTCCTGGTCCAGAAAAAAATAAAATAAAATGTTACATTGAATGTTGAATAAAGTAGTTCCTAAAAACAGTTATAATAACATCTCCTGTATGGTTTTTTATGGATATTTCCTTTTTTTACTTGCTTTAAGATGAAGCAGTTATTTAAAACACCAGACATGTGTTTAGAATAAAGTGATTATTAATATAAAAGAAAACCGTTATTAGTCCTAAATTTGTCTTTATTAGTGAAAGAAAGATGATAATAAAACATTTACGAATCAAAACAAGTCTACGGAGTAAGTTGAAACAGTGAATTGCATCTGTTTATCAACTTTTCTCACTATAAAATAGCAAAATGTTACATATTTGGTACATGATTAGATTAAAAACAGCGGCCTATAGACGAAAAAGCCGAAAACCAAATAAGTGAGGTATGAGACAACGTTTGGTGTCCCTTCAGTTATGATCCATCACCAGTTCGCTAAGCAAATGTTGTCTGTTGACGTCTCAGCGGGAATGCTATTCTGACTATATTTAAGATGTGTCATTCGAAGGGTCCCTTTTTTTCTATTACTCTTAGAGGAAAGGTGGAAGAAGTTCTCACAACCGCTTAAATATTTCTGCATTCTCTTTACAACCAACAAACCATTTCGAGCCAAAATTGAGAAAGTTTGAAAGACGCTAAAGCGTGTTCTGTTCTGCATTTCTGCTATCTTCCATTGTGATTAGGGGAATGTGGAAAGATTCGTTGGCCGATTTATGTCTCATAGTTCCAATACCCTTTTTCTTTCACCGGACAATATAAAACGTTCAACTAATTTTTGTTTAGATGTGCTGAAAAGTTGTTGCGAATTAGTTTGTCATATCCAGTAGTAACCGTATCACTGGTTAATCAGATAGTCGAATTCTAATGTCCAACATTATTTATTATAAAATTATATCCGTCATTTTGCTGAGAGGCATATACTTCATAAAACAATAGTCTGGACTTCTGAGTGATGCAGGCATCACATTTGCGTAACTCCTGTTAATAGCAACATAGAGAAATCAAAACAACCGTTTTGTTTACTTAGCCCATTACTGGTTCAAATGTTTCTTCAGTTTAAGTTGGCAGCAGCACATTATTACATGAAACTTATTTTTTTCTAAAGCATATTGAAACAAAAAGTGAACATTTTAAATTATATCTGAACTAATTTTATGACTGAATGCAGTGTTTATACACGCCAAGAAGTTACTTCGTACAAGTGTGTAGGTGAATATCAACAGAAAAGGTGTCGGCATATATAATATGAATCATTGAATGTTATAAAAACAGTGTTTTCCGCGTTAACACGTCGGTGATTTGTAATGATTCATTCTTTATGCACAGATTTGGTATAACTCCTTACACTGGTGTTCTATTTTTTTATTCCTTCACGTTCTCAGTAGAACATAGACTTCAAGGTAGAGGCTTGAATTTTCTGTAGCAGTGTTTATTTTTACAGAATGGAGTTGCTAGGCTCATGCCCAACCTTTCCTCTTCACCAGCGTTATTTCTGGGTTAGCGAGGTAAAGGAGTGCGTCGGCCGTGGATCGAACCCAGTACCATGTGCATGGTGGGCGAATGTCCTAACTGCTGTGCCACCGACACACAAGTGTTCCATTATGATGCTTGAAATAAGGTGTCGAAACGTTGCTTCACTTATCTTAGTGAACATATAACACCTACTGGATACATTTTTATCGACACACCTAACACTAGAGAGCTTCACTGATAAACATCAAATAATCAGTAAGCACGAGTAACGCGGTAAACCAGCAGATTAATTGTGACACAAATAGCTCCAGTATCAAGTTTTTACCTCTCCCAGTGAGTGAGAACTTTGAACCACTTAAGAGTTATGAAATTTTCTACTCTACGTACACGCTTTGCTAATAATTATAATTGAGTAAGAAGCCTTAGTTCAGGCACACGCAGCTTTTTTCCGTCCTCAGAATTATGAATGTCAGTCTTTCCCCCAAAAACATGATGTTTTGTTTTATAGACCAATGTATTTCACAGTTGACTAATAAGTTTCTTGGGGAAATAAAAGGTTGAGTGCTTTTGAAGCGCTAATCGACTGATGATAGCCACTTGGCGTCTGCAGCTGTGGATCCAGAATCCTTGGTTTTTATTAACACATAGTTACAATATCCCAAAAGGATTCTATGGAATATCCTTTAAATACATGTTTAAGTATTAATTACTTGACGAAGTTTACAGGATTACTTAAATTTCAAATCAACGTTTAGCGACAATATGATGTCAGCAAGAAAAGTACTCATGTGAGGAGAAAACTGTCTCTCATCATTCAACTTATTAAAAATGTTAACTCAAAGTAGCGGAAAACTCTCAAAACTTACTTCAAATACATAATCTCCAAAGAATTCAGGTCTACAATCGTTAACATCTTCTATCTTAATTATAACAGTAGCTGTTGATGACAGACGATTCGTTTTAGCACTATCACTTACAACAATGTGCAATTCATACCGATCCACTTTCTCTCGGTCAACTTCATCTATCAACTGAATATCACCATTTGCAGCTAAATTAAATACACGATGTAATCTAATATCCTTCCTCTGATTCTCATCATCACCATTATTTTCAGTATTTTGATATTCCGTTTCTGTCATATTATCAATTTCATTAGGTGACAGTAGCATTTTATTTCCAAAATATGGAATTTCCCTTCTCAGTTCAAAATTCAATCTACCATTTTCCCCAGCATCTAAATCAATCGCCTGAACACTACCAATAATTGTACCACGTAAAGAGTTTTCTGGTAGAACAAATTGATAAGTATACGATTGGTCTGTTCTTTGTTGATTTGATGATAAATATGATTGATAAAATAATTTTCTATGACTATCTGTATTCAGGAGAGATAGATGAGGTGATTGAGATTGTTGTGAATTCAAAAATATCGGTGGATTGTCATTGACATCAAGAATATTTATTGTTATAAGACGATGTGATGTAAGCATAGGTGATCCTTTATCTGAACACTGTAATAATACATTATAGTATGGTGTTGCTTCCCGATCAAACGATGATGAATTTTTTGTTTCTAATCGATAAACGACCCATCTACCTTGACGTGATAAACCGTCGTTATTATCAGTTTCACTCTGTTGTCTATGAAACAAGAATCTATTATTTAAATCCATACTATTTGAATTCCGAGGTTCAGATAACTTTGGTCCGGACATGACTTCAACTAAGGATAAATACACAGTATCATTTAGACTGCACTGGAACTCTGAATTCGGTGATGTAGTCAAGTCTAAATCTCGTACAGTTATCAGACTAACCAACTGTTGATTTCCGATAGCATTTTCCACGACTGAGAATTCAGTGTTTCTCATCTGTAAAATAAATAAAGTAAGCAGGTAAATAGTTGCATCGTCTAACAATTAAATAAGTACATTTTCCATTATGGTAATTAGGATTTAAGGTAAATAACTCCTAAATGTTCCTTATATACCGAAAGAATATTTTTTTCACTGAGCGCAAATTCTTTCAAATTCGATACCAGCTCAGATTTAAGAATCTTATTCTTGTCACTAACACTAACAGCCTTTTGCGTTGATAATTTGCAGATCCGAATTGAGTAATCCATCATGTTATGTAAACTTTTTGAACAAATATTTGAATAATAACTTTAAAAGAGAACCAAATGATGTATATTTTGATTGTTAATATTAGAATACACGGTGACATGCGTAACGGAATAACTGTTTGGGGAACCCTGAACCATCTAATTACAGAATTTATTTTTATTTGTTTATTTTAACTAACTTTGTAATTTTTATCTTTATTTCTCCTAGACAGTATATCATTGCACTAACGTTTGAGTATCATATGTTGAATTAATTCTCACTATTTATTGTTTTCCCTGTATTAACCCTAAATTTAATACTTCTCTTTGTGGTTGTGTGATGATATTGGTAATGTGTTGTCTTGCGACTGCGATTTTGTCTGGGTGAGTCAACGTCACTATGATTTTGGACAGTCTGTGGAATTATTGGTGTGTGATTCTTGTGAACAGAGTTCAGATCTCACTTTGGTGGGAGTGTTCTACTTATTCCTAAGGTATCTCTTACAGTTTCTCTTTTGGTTAACTAATTTTTTTCTATAGTACACGGTTTATACTCAGAAGGATACCCTGACTGTATGGCTGCCTTATGGCACCATTGAGACAATTTTGAGTTTTCGATGTTATTATTGTTGAATGGAACCGCATAGATATTACGACGAATAACTGTCTTTTTACTGTCACTGAAGCGTTCTGTGATTGTGTATGTCTCAAGAAAGTTTCAGTCAGCATCTCTGTAGTACACAGAGATTGACTTCTCGCTGTCAGACCACAAGGAGTCGGTTTCTGTCGTTACAGACACAGATACCGAAACAAATAATTTCCACTTTTCTTTCAGCAGATTGGTCCGAATTTCTTCAGGATAATGGTCGGAGTCGCCTCTCACTATTCACAAAATTATTTCACTCTTTTTGTAGAAACTTGGTATTCCATATTTAATTCAATCTACCGGAATAGTTCAAATACTACAGGTCCAATGGTAATCATACAGGATTTTAAAGTACTGTCTCATAAATGGCACTGGAATCATAGTGAATAGTCAGTAAAAATGTTTACAGTCACATCAGAAAGAGAGGATTAGAATTAAGACCTAAATTGTTTCAGTAATTTCGACAGCAGAAAAGTATAGAGAATCCGATCATTATTTCTTTAGTGAGGAGGACAGATATGACTTCTTATTACTTTTGGAGCAACAAAAAGCGGTACCATAGGTCTAAAAGTCAGTATCACTTCTTGCCGACAAAGTTTTGATCCCACCTTGTTAAGAATATTTCCCTTGATTCTCAGGTGCTTTTTACAGTTGATCTGGTTGACTAATTTCGTTCTGCATAACTTGTTTTGCACTGGAACATCTTCTGATCTGTATAGCTGCTTAACGTCATCGTTGTGATAATTTTGAGTTTAACATGTTATTGTTATCGAATAATACCGCAGAATTTATTGTAAATAATTGTTCATTCGCTGTTATTAGGGCACTTTGTGACTGTATTTAACTCAAGGAAGTTCTGATTAGCTAAACAGTAGAACGCAAAGATTAGTTTCCTGCGTTCAGACCGCAACATGTCGGTTGCAGTCGTTACAACATTCAGATAAGTACTGCTTCCTCGAATGAAGCAAGTATGCCTGGTTGCAAAATTAATCAACACAACGGGCACAACCAAACTACAACGTTCAGTTTGTTTTTCAAAAATTGTTACAACTACAATAAATCTTATATTTTATACTCTTCAAGTTTATAAAGGCTTTAAAAGTTAAAATGCCATGTTTTAGGAATTGTTTGACAGAAGTTTATTCATTCGATAAATGAACCGTCTTGATTTTTATCTTGTAAAGTTATCTCTTATCGCATGTAAAGTTCCCAGTTGACACCTATTCAAGAGAAACGTTAACAATCGTTTCTCACCAATGTTTTTCAACGCATATCTCACAATTGTAATCTGTTTTTTTGAAGAAAAAAGATCGCTGAATACATCCTCTCTGTTTTCTCATGACTTAGACATTAGTACAATATAAAAATGATTAATAATCAAATAAATATCATTTGAATTCTTAACGTGATTAATGCTTTTCCGAAATACTAATGAATACTAGGAAGTTGTTACATTGTAAGTGTAAGACAAATGATCACATATGAACAACTGGGATCTTCCACTAATAAATTTGATGAAACGTTAACTCTAACACACAGTTCGAATATGACAACTGAATAGTTAAATCTGTGTTTTTATTTATGAGGATAATGTATCCATTTCTATGGGAACTAAGTAGATAAATTAGACAGTGTTAATTTATAATTTTTGCATGAATGCATTGTCGAGATGTTCAGACATCCTACCAGTAAACATAAAGTATGTCTACTATCGAAGATACACTGAGAAAACTGTTGGTGAAGTTACTACAGTCAGTGAAGTATGAATGAAGCGAAAAAAAATCAATATACATTAAAAACAAAGTTTAGTATTTTGTCACTGACTAGATTAATAGAAAATCCAATTCTTTCATCAACACTCAGGGAGGACAAAATACACTACCATATCTGAGTTGTCTTTAAGTTAAATTAGGATGACTTTGAATGAAGTCACTAGAACCATACATTTCAATTATTTCTTTTGGATACATAGCGTAGGTTTCAGCTTTTGGATGGCTAGTGCCTCGGCTATGTCCACATATCTAAATTTTACTCCTTTTGATGGGTTTGATTGAATCTTGTATATTATTTTGAAGGACTTTTCGAATTGCTCTGAATGTCCTGAATTGACCAGATGTTCTGTTACTGAACTGTATACAAGTTTTCATTCTCCTTTTACTAGCCGGGCTAGATAGTGTTCACGAAAGCATTTTTCAAGTTGGCGCACTGTACGGCCGATGCACTCAGCTCCGCACGAGCAAGTAAACTGTTATATGCACGTTGAAGTAGCACAATGCGACAGCTTGTCTTTCGCGTTCTGGCTAAACAGTTTCTTGCAGGAAAACATCAGTCGTAGGCTTGCGGCGAAGTATGCTTTCCTCAGGGATTTGCAGAGGCGTTTACGAAGGATTTCTGCTTCATTGTCACATTTGAATTCTAAATAGAGCAGAAGTATCTTCTTTCTTCATTTATTACAAGCTGACGTTTTAAATATGTGGCTAGGAGGAATTACTTCACTATTTATCTGACTGATGTGCTAGATGGTATCCTCTTTTATTAATCAAGAAACATGCTATGAATAAAGGATACCGCATTGATTAGATTAATTAAATAAAAATGCTTTAATCAGAGTGCTGTTTTGCTGGTCTTGACCCTAAGTTAATAGACGTTTATGAAAACACAATAATCTCAGAAAGGCGTATTGTGAAGGCCACCCTAAAGATTATGCAATACTTCAGTGGATCCTTTATTTGTGTTGAGATTGACTTGGTTAAATAAGAAATACCACTACTGGGTTAAAGGATAGAATAAGAAAACATGTGTACAAAATACACTAATGACTGATAACAACTCAGCTGGTAGGTTTTAAACTATTATTGCATATAACTTTAATTCCTCAAGTTACTTTAGTGAAATATATTTTCCTGTCTACATTGATAGCTAATGGTTTTCGAAAATTTCGGTATTTGTTGAGAATTCCAAGTTAATTTTCCACTTAATAAACACTCTTTTGACTGTGATTAAATGAACGAAATCCTTATTTGATATTAGTTTTCCTATTTCAAATTGAAGAAATTATATTTAGATAAAGCAATAAGAAGATGTAATTTGTCTGAATCGTGTAATGTATTTGCGCAACACATTTCGAGCAATCTGATCCATCACACATGGACTTGTCATAAGAATATACACATGAAATTAATAAAGAGTTAAGAGGTGTGAAAATAGACAAGTTAAAAGGACATATTGAAGGTCAAAATAATAATGAAGACCACTAAACCAAATAGCAGAGGTAATAATACATCTGCTTTGGTATCCAAACAAAATTTACCGAGGAAGGTATTCAGAGAATAGTCCTAAGTGGCTCCAGAAACAAATGGAATCTTCAGAACCCATTAATGGTGAGAACAGGAGACCTACCTCCTCTGTTGCAAAACATATTACAGAGACAGGACATAAAATTGACGTTAACAGATCTTTTAAACCTATCTATAAAACGTATTTGGGATGTATCCTAAAGTTTGTGGAAGCCCTAGCAATTAGAAAGTTTAAGCCACCTCTGTGTTCAAAAACAATTCGTCATCACTCTAAACCTTCCTTGGTAAATTTTGTTTGGATACCAAAGCAGATGTATTATTACCTCTGCTATTTGGTTAAGTGGTCTCCATTGTTATTTTGACCTTCAATATGTCCTTTTAACTTGACCTAAGTCTATTTTCTCATCTCTTAGCTCTTTATTAATTTCATGTGTATATTCCTATGACAAGTCCGTGTGGGATCATATTGTTCGAAATGTGTTGCGCAAATACACTACACGATTCAAACAAATTACGTCTTCTTATTGCTTTATCTAAATTCATAAAGGGAGCTAATTGTTCGAAATTATATTTGTCAACTCCTAATGAGTTTTCCTGTGTGAATAGAAATTGAAATAAGTATAATCCAGAAACAGTGTGAAGGTTATTGCGTTGTCTTCAAAATGTTCTGTCATCTTTCTATCTAGTCAAAAGTTTCTATTATTGTTTACCATTATCCCCTGTTAGTCAGTAAGCGCCATGGCTTTCGAATTTAATGCCAACAAATTTCACCCATTAGAAACGTGGTTACTTGTTCATGCGGCAGATTCCTTATTTTCTTCATGT